TTTGATTCCGCACTTTTGAAAACCAAACCAATCAAAAAAGACACACAACTATGACGCCCTCCCTTGTCCGGCTGGGCAAAATGATCCCAGGCGCCCGAACAGCACGTTGAACATGGGCCCAGCGTAGATGCCGGTGATTGCCACGCGGAACTCCCCGGCCTGAAAGGCGAACCATATTTCAAAGTGGACCTGTTCTAATTTGTGGAACCTTGCAAACACCAACACGAACACACAAACACAGAGAGACAGAGAGAAAGGGAAACAGAGAGGCAGAGAGACAGAGAGACTGAGAGCCAGACAGCAAGGCAAGCAGGCAGACCGGTAAGCAGGCAGGCAGGCAGGCAGGCAGCCACGCAGGCAGGCAGGCAGACAGACACACAGACAGACAGAAAAGAAAAACTGAGACACACACACACACACCAACACAGCCACACACCGACACACACACACACACAGGACACACCGAGACACAGACACACACTCCCGCTGAAACCCCACCGTCCCCTTTGGGGGACTCCCAAACACCCCCCCCCCCCCGCCCTCTTTGAAAAAGACCAACATAGGCCAAATCTGGTAGTTGTATTTTGGGGGTGGTTGGGCCCGTGCCTTGGCAAGGCCCAGCATTGCAAAAACGTTGTCCACACAGTTGCCCCAGGCCAGTAGCGTAATGCCCATGACCATTGGCTTCAATCCTCGGAATGCGCGTGGTGCAAGTAACCGAGGCAAAACAAGGTAATACGCTGACAAACGCAACTTACTTCACTCATGATGACACCTGATGGTAGCAATGTGTTTACCTTTTTGGCAATCAATGAAAGTGGTAGAAGCTAAAAAGAGTAACAAAAGAGAAGCAGCAGCAGCAGTAGTAGTAGTAGCAGTAGCAGTAGCAGTAGCAGCAGCAGCAGTAGTAGTAGTAGCAGTAGCAGTAGCAGTAGCAGCAGTAGTAGTAGTAGTAGGAGGAGTAGTAGGAGTAGGAGTAGTAGGAGTAGGAGGAGTAGTAGTAATAGTAGTAGGAGTAGGAGAAGAAGTAGGAGTAGACGTAGTAGTAGTAGCAGCAGTGATAGTAGTAGGAGTAGGAATAGTCGCAGTAGCAGTAGCAGCCTCGCTATTGATGTAGCATGTGTTGGATTCGGGTGGTACTGTCATAAGTTATCTCATACATGATATGCTGATTCTGGCCCATAGTCAATTCAATGAACCCGAATTGTTCAAATCAATTCAAAGGAGATACTAGTAATGTTGTGAATTGTAGCGCCCTTTCGGAGCTGTCAAGGCACTGGCGGATAACGCAACCACAGCTCGACACTGCACTGTGTTTGGTGTTCTTCTGCCTACAGGCCCACGTTGTAAGTACATTGATGACAATGCGTTCAGCCACGGTTTGTCCAATTTGTGAAAAAGGCGGTGCATCCGGTGCAAGGGTCTGTATCTACAGAAGCACTTATGAACCAATGTTTGATGTCTCCCCAGCAATAACAGTTTCGTTGTCTGTGAGCACGGACATTCTCCGACGAACCAGAACGAGAACACGCACTGAAAGGCATTGTCAGGACTACCTTTGTAAATAGAAAGACTTGACATCTGATCAATTCGTTTCTGAGTCAGTGAGCCTCGGATTCTGAACATTCGCCGCTGTTTCTTAATAGCCTCTTCCTTTTTCTCACGGCTACTCCTGAAGATTAACGGGAAGTGGCCACTTTGTCTCAGGGAACCCGATTTCAATACGCCGCGACATTTCCAATCTGGTTTCGTGGGATGTGATCATTTCCAATCCTTTCCCTAACCCACCAGTAATTATTTTGTGCAAGGAAAACGTGAATGAGGAGATCACAGCTCCCACTTCCCCAGGCCGAAAGTTTCGATCCAACATGCTCTTTGCCTAGCCCGTCTCACCTCGTCCCAGGCTTGCGGGGGGCAATGTTTCCACTCTGAACTAAGCTGGAGTTCAGGGAAAAAATATCAGCGCGTTGCAAATAGCTTGGGCATCGCGAGTCTAAGGGAAAGGGCTTGCACAAAACAGGCAAGCCCTTCAATCTGTTTGTCCAGGTGTTGTACGCTACACCTCCTAAGTCAAAAGTACGGCCCAACAGCGCCGTCTTTCCCCGAGTAGCTACCATCTTCCCGGAATTCCCTTCACTTTACCTAATCCATTTGCTTCAGGCTCCACACAAATACAAATCTTTACCACTCATGACCTCTCCCTTTCGAAAGCCAAGTAAACAAGCCTTCAGAGCTTATAGACCAAAGATCGACAGATCAGCCACGGAGGCCCCGACTCCTTTGCCAAGGATCCCATGATGGTGCCCAGGAGCTGCATAGCCCCAACCACTTCATTTGCGAACAGGGCCACCCACAGCAAGGACGTCAGAAAGGTCGCCCAGTTGAAGCTAGTCTTCGCCTTAAAGGCTGATGAATGAAATCATGTCGCAACCCTCAGCAATGCACCAAGTTTCTGAGATCCTGAACCATTCGTTCTGGTTTGACTATGGGAGACCACCCACCCTGTGGGTGGGACGCATGCGTTGTATCCTTTTATGCAATCAATCATGAAAGCGGACCAAGGAGCTTTTTTCCACAGGGAGGGCTTTGCAAACATATTTCCCCTTCAAGCATTAATATGCCAAAAGCAAACTCACGGGGCTCCGTAGGCAGTGCTAGCAATCTCTTTGCTTCGGCTGGAGGCGCCTAAGGCTGTGGATCACAGGTGCCCAAACCCGGGGAGAATCAGCCGGCGAGACCTGAGGCGCCTGTAGTGCCAGTTTGTCTAGAGAAGTTGAATGCTTTTGATTTTTGGTGCATGATCGAACTAAGTTATTTGCTGTGGGGGTAACCCAAGAAAGCTGTTCACAACTCGTTGTGGCAAACAAAGTTGCTGGCCAACAAAAGGCGTTGTGTCCTACAATGTTGGGGTCCAATTCCTATTCTGTGACTGGTTGAATTGCAATCTACAGGACTCCTCTGTGTGGCTTCCAAATTTGAGTGTGCCATCTGGAAAATAGCTCCCCTGCTGGATCAAAACTAGAGACCCCCCCCTGTTCTTTTGGTGGGCTTTTATATCCAGCCAAAAGGGGGACCCCCCTTGTGTTAGTCTGCCAATTCGGTTTTAATTAGCCAAAAACAAACACCTATTTATTTGGGTATGAATCCCAAGCAGCAGGCACCTTTTGGTGGGTATGATATTGGGATGAATTAATGTCCGCCATCTTGGAGCGTGAACCAATCATCATAACATATCAGCACATGGGTTGGTGTGCAAATGGGGAAGCCTGCTTGGTTTATTCACTTTTGGCTTCCCACAAGACCACGAGGCTGCCCTCAAAAGGAGACACGCCTTTTTTTGATCAACATTCAACCCAAAATGTAGGACAAAGTGGTCCCAACTCTGATGATGTTATCTAGAGAGGCCACCGTCCGAAACAAGGGTATCGTCACAAACCATTTCATGTGATCTTGCCCTCAAGAAAGACACCTAGGGCAAAACATTTTAGTAATTTAGTTCAGGACAATTTTGAAGAACCTCCGCCCTTGCCCAATCGCTGAAAGCCCTCCGCCCTCGCCGCGCTGCCAGGTAAACTCCCGGGCGGCGCCTCGCCACGGCGAAGGCCGCAAAGCTCAGGGCGAGGCCCAAGAGCCAAAAGATGCCCAGCGTGGCGCACAACGTCCTCGGCTTGGGGGCTCTTGGGGGGCACCAAGAGCCCCTCCTAATTTCAACCAAAACAAGAGGGCTTTGCGAGGCTCCACTCTCAGATTGGGGGATCCCCTCTTAAATAGGTTGTGCTACTCAGCAGGTTTTGTTTCACCGTGGGTCTTTTTGGATACGCCCTGAAAAAATCGCAGAGCACTTTCACAGGGCCTAAAAACGGGATATGCCCTTTGATTGAGTTTCAACTAACAGGGGAGAGGAAAGCCAGCCTTTGCTCCTGAAAGGAAACCCAAGGAAAGCCGAAACATGCCGAAACCCAAGAAGAAGCCAACAGAAAACCAAAAGGAAAGGGTGTTAAGGAAAGGGTTTTGGGGGTGTGAAAGGGAGGGGTGTTGATAAAACAACAATTCAAGGAAAACCAACAGGAACTTACAAGAAATCTTTATTAAGGGCTGTGTCAGGTTTTCTAGGACGTTCAATTGTTGAGCTGCGGCGCAAGGAACCCCGTTGATGAGGGCTTTCAATTGTTAAGGTTCGGGAGACAGCAGGGACACGTTATATGAGACCCGCTTGTGCGGGAACACCCAATGAACACCAAGAGGAGACAACTAGGAAAGCAGAAGGAAACTCTCAGGAAAGAAACGAACCAGGTAATCCCAAGGGGGACCCTGTTTCGCCAACCCCAAAACAGGCCATTGTTTGTTGCATAGCTACGCATTGTGAAGAAGGTCATTAGTACCTAGCCTCACGTGCGGACCTCAGACATTTGTTTGCAATGCGCATGAATGAATGAATGAATGAATGAATGAATGAATGAATGAATGAATGAATGAATGAATGAATGAATGAATGAATGAATTAATGAACCCCAAAACAGTGTCTTTCTTTTTACCTCCAATTTGTTTTTTGGTTTGTTTGGTTCAAGCAGTCCCACGCGACGCTTGCATATCACAATACGGCTCCTGGTGGTATCATGGTTTTGGGGTGGCTGGCAGGGTTGGGCCAACCCCTTTTCAAGCAGCTTATGGTTTCGCCTGGTGTCTAGGTGAACTCTGCCGGTGTCGGTCCATTCAAGGGACATCCCCACAACCTTCTGCATGTGTTTTAGCCTTTTAGCGGAAAGCAAAAAGTACTTTCGACCCTCAAAGGAACCCAGGGACCCAGTCTGCTGATTGTTTGAACTTCGCTTGGGAGTTCGGATGCCGCTGGTTGACGCGAACCAGCTAGGCCAACCAACTTCAGGACAGAAATCCCCAATGACGTCCGCCAAACGCTCAAATAAGACACATATCGACGTGGAGGAAGGAGTGAAAACAAAGGTGCCCCCAGGCAAAAGCACCTATTTCGACTTGGCTCTACCAGAAGAGTTCAGCTAACATCCTCAGATAGAACAGGAAAACCCATGCAACCATTGCCATTTGTGGCTGGTGGGGCCATTCCCAAGCCCCCGCATCCCATTTCATCTGCGCGATGGCATGACGGCTATCCCACCGAGCGGCCAGCCAGAGCCCAGCTCCTGCGAACATGGGTCTGCCTGTCTCTGAGCGTTGGTTGGTATTTGGGATGGAAAAACGGGGCAATCTACCAGTCCGAACCAGTTCCCTCTTTGATAAGCGGAAACATATGGGAGAACGGCTTTCCAAAAGCGAATGGATGTTAAGTTCGGAACCTGCAGGAGAAGCTGCCCAAGCTCCGTGTTAACACTTGCCTCTCTTAAGGAGGCCGGTGTTCGGCTCGCCTCAGAATCCGAGGAGCCAGCCCCGCGTTTCTGCTTTCCTGTTTTCACTAGCTGCTTCGAAGGATCAAAACAAGAATGCTCTGCCAGGTGCAAAAAAGCAAGCAAGACGCGACTCCTTTTTTCCCCAAGCGCGGCGCATATAAGGCACACCGCGGGCTCCCCACTTCGAAAACCGCACAATCGCCTGAAATTCAAGCAACCTACCCTCCCACCAACCCGCACAAAACCCAGAGGGCCCCGTTTTAGAGGAAGCAGGTCTTCCAACTGCCCCCAGTCGGGTTCCATGCTGGCAGGAGTAAAGCAAACGCTTGGCCAAAGGGGCAACCCGGCTCGTCTCAGAGCTCTGGGTGGCCGGCCACTTCCATCAGCTTGTCCACCAGCTCCTGCCCGGCTAACCAGACCCTGGCACCCCAAAATACTGAAATCCGCCGACCCTCTGCCTCCCGTCCCAGCCTCCTGCAGAGGGGACCGGCGTGGGATGCAACTGGAAGTGATTGGAATCAATGATAGTCCCTGGGGGCACGCCCGAACCCACAAAAAGTGGATTCCCAGGACCGGTCCCGGGACCGGTCCCGGGACCGGTCCTGGGACCAGTCCTGGGACCAGTCCTGGGACCGGTCCTGGGACTGGTCTGGGACCCTGGTCCTGCTGTTTCAGATTACTTGTAGTCAGCCAAAACCGGTCCTGGGACCGGTCCCGGGACCGGTCCCAGGAGGACCGGTCCTGGGACCAGTCCTGGGACCGGTCCTAGGACCAGTCCTGGGACCGGTCTGGGAAGCCGGTCCTGGTGTGACCGCTGGTATTGGGTCCCAATTCAATGCCACCTCAAACCGCTCCAGACACCTTTCCGGACTGGCACCCAGGACACTGGACAGGGTCCCAGATCGTCACTCCCTGCGACCAAACCGGCCCGTGCGGTTATTGACGTCCTTGTGGTAGTAGAGGATCCCTGGATCTATTCCAATACGTGAAGTCAAACCGCGCCAGACTGGGACCAGCCTGCTGCCGGCGACCGGTCCAGGGCAACTTCGGGAGGGCCAGTTTCGAAGTGACTTCGGCGCAAGCCGGCCCAAGTGGTAATTAACGGACTAGCTGCCCTATTTCTGACTTTTCCGTTAATCCTTGTTTGTGGTCAACTTCGGGAGGGCCAGTTTCAGGGCGACCCCGGGAGAGGCGACTGCTCCCGGGCCAACTCGAAGTGACTTGGGCGCGAGCCGGCCCAAGCGGTAATTAACGGACTAGCTGCCCTATTTCTGACTTTTCCGTTAATCCTTGTTTGTGGTCGTAGAGGATCTTATAAGTGGTCCCTGGGTTTGCGGACGTGTTTCAGGACCGGTCCTTGTGACTTTTCCCTTAATGCGCCGAGGGTCGGCGGCAGCAGGCGGGAGCCTGGTTATACTGTTTATCCAAGTAGGGCCTAAACTAGGCATCAGAAGATCACCAAAATGCCAAAAGGACACATTGACAAGAAATAGAGTTTCGTTGACTAAAGAATGAAAGCTTTGGGACCGTGACTAAAAGATGGTTGCCAAAAAGGGAAGCCCAACGGTTAAAAGCTTGCCTTTGAACCTGAACTGCCATCCTTGTGATGAAGTCCTTGACGGGATCACAAACGGTCCATGTCCAACACCCTTGACATTCCCTTGCAACCGGCAAAATGAGGACTCTACAAATTAGGACGAGATCACTCTGATTGTTGTCTTACATGGGTGCCTTGCTTACTTTTCCAGCTTGGGAATTCCATGCAATCTGTGCAAATGAGGTGCCTTTCTATAGAGGCGAGGACGCACACGGACAACTACACATCAAAACCTCACAATCAGAATAGCAAAACGACCCCTTAAAAGTGCTTTGATGAAGCCGAAAGTTACAAGGGAACCAACAAGCAGCCTAAGGGTCTGGAAAAACAGTGTCCACCTTCCACCACAGCAGAACAATCTCATTAACATCAAGAAATAGAACTGGAGTCCAGACCTCCAGTTGCCATGGCAAGAAAAGGGCACCTTTTTTGTGGATTCTCAAGGGATTTTCAAGGGGGTACCCCTTCTGCAAAAAAAACAAAAACAAAACATGGGAAACTCCACCACTGGTGGTTTGGGGTTCCACCCCGCTGGAGAAGACTTATACATCTTATACCAAGGATAGATTGATGATGACCCTTGCTGCTTAAGTACCCGTCACCTCCTCAAGTAGAATTTGGAGCCCAACTTTCAACGTAAATCCGCCGACCCTCTGCCTCCCGTCCCAGCCTCCTGCAGAGGGGACCGGCGTGGGATGCAACTGGAAGTGATTGGAATCAATGATAGTCCCTGGAAAACACGCCCGAACCCACAAAAAGTGGATTCCCAGGACCGGTCCCGGGACCGGTCCCGGGACCGGTCCTGGGACCAGTCCTGGGACCAGTCCTGGCACCAGTCCTGGGACTGGTCCTGGGACCCTGGTTCTGCTGTTTCAGATTACTTGTAGTCAGCCAAAACCGGTCCTGGGACCGGTCCTGGGACCGGTCCCAGGACCGGTCCCGGGACCAGTCCCAGGACCCATCCTGGGACCAGTCCTGGGACTGGTCCTGGGACTGGTTGCAGGACCAGTCCCAGGACCGGGGTTTGGTCCTGGGACTGGTCTCAGGACCAGTCCTGGGACCAGTCCTGGGACTGGTCCCACAGGACCGGCGGTTTGGTCCTGGGACTGGTCCCAGGACCGGTCCTGGTCCTGGGACCGGTCCCAGGACCAGTCCTGGGACCGGTCTGGGAAGCCGGTCCGGGATCAAGTCCTGGTGTGACCGCTGGTATTGGGTCCCAATTCAAACTGCTGTGCTGCCACCTCAAACCGCTCCAGACACGTTTCCGGACTGGCACCCAGGACACTGGACAGGGTCCCAGGTCGTCACTCCGTGCGACCAAACCGGCCCGTGCGGTTATTGACGTCGGATCGCTGGATCTATTCTGCAAGAGAGTCCAATACGTCAAGTCAAACCGCGCCAGACTGGGACCAGCCTGGACAGGGTCCCAAGTCCCGGTCCCTGCCGGCGACCGGTCCAGGGCAACTTCGGGAGGGCCAGTTTCAGGGCGACCCCGGGAGAGGCGACTGCTCCCGGCCAACTCGAAGTGACTTGGGCGCAAGCCGGCCCAAGCGGTAATTAACGGACTAGCTGCCCTATTTCTGACTTTTCCGTTAATCCTTGTTTGTGGTCAACTTCGGGAGGGCCAGTTTCAGGGCGACCCCGGGAGAGGCGACTGCTCCCGGGCCAACTCGAAGTGACTTGGGCGCAAGCCGGCCCAAGCGGTAATTAACGGACTAGCTGCCCTATTTCTGACTTTTCCGTTAATCCTTGTTTGTGGTCGTAGAGGATCTTATAAGTGGTCCCTGGGTTTGCGGACGTGTTTCAGGACCGGTCCTTGTGACTTTTCCCTTAATGCGCCGAGGGTCGGCGGCAGCAGGCGGGAGCCTGGTTAATATTTTGCTGAATTGTAGCCCCTTAACGCGTGGGTGGGGGATCTTTGCGGGTAATAAAATCACTCAAACCACTCCCGGGCTCGCTCCGACTTCTCGGCGCAGCCTTTGCACGCCGCCTGCACATGTGGTTCTCTGATACCGAAACGGTGGCCATTTGCACGACTACTTCATCGGCTTAAAGCAGGATTCCGCTCGCAAAGGTCTATTGGCCATTCACAGAAGGTAGCCACCTAGAATAACATTCATCACAACTAACTCCCCCTACCTATCCGTAATCCAAAATGAAACACCACTACAACAAGGAAAACCGCTATTTGTCTGGCTTGGTCATGAAGAATGGTTTTGACCAACCCAGTCAAAACACCAGCCTCCCTTGAAAGGCCAACCATCATGGCAGCAGAAGGGTTTATTCCCTGTTGGACCACCTGAAAACAGCCAATTGAGCAGCGCCGGAAACCCATTGACTTCTGGTTATACCAACATGTTTTTCAAGAGTCATATAATCATATCGCCCATAACTCCGACATCAAACCAGGTAGCAGAATCACCTACTAAAATTGGCCGATGGGAATCGGCTTTGGGTGCTGCTCATGTAGGTATGACGTCGTGGTGTTTTGCGGGGGACTCCCCTGCAGCTGGAAGGTGCCAAAAGGGGTTGTCCAATTAAAACCACAAGGGGCAATACGTCAACCAACCCCTCGGCACCTGCAAGTCCACCAGCAGCGCCCGCAGCGCTGAGATGGGCTTCGCTGCCAGCAGCTCTCTCGGCGCTTGGCGCACGGCCGCCAAGGCCGCGGACCGCGCGTCCGCCTGGGGCGCAGGATGGTTAATACCTCCCTGTTTGCTGAGAGGTTGACGTCATATTCCAAGCAAGTGGATATCATCTGCAAATAAAACTTAGCTGTTGTGGACTCTGGACGGTGGGTCATTTACCAAGTATCAGGGTGCAATCAATGCACAAATCGTAGAAGGGCTGCATTTTTGGATTGCGCACCCGCGCATTGGTAGTCCCGTGGTGGGAATTATGCTCTTTAAGCCATGGGAGGTGAAGCGGAAAACATGTTGGAGTGATTATTAGAGTATCTTGCGGACAAACGGTTAAAGGTGAAGGCTGGACAGCCAGTGGACTTCTTACTTGTGTGCCCCACCATTTTTTGAAACGCGCAATCATTGCTTACTGAGCGTCCTGCATCGAAATGCGATGGCAGCGGAAGGCTCAGGTGTGCTGCTATGTCTTCAGAAATACACCCACTGGGGTCGATGCATTTTTGGCGGGTCTCGAACAACTAGGTACACACATCAAGATTTCTGGACTTGCAACGCGTGATTGCTGGCCAAGTCACCAATTATATTGGTAGCAGACTAAGTAGGGTCAACAAAAAGCTTGTGCGCGCACAATGTCAAATCCCCACCTCCGACAAAACATGTGGGGCCAAGTTCGGCCCTTCAACAAATGATTTTCTGCACACCCACAAACAGGACATGGCTGGAAGGGTTCCTTTATTGGGGCCCGGTACCTGCCTCCCACACACACACACATGGGCATGATTGTTTTCATGGGATTTCGATCCTCTGGGCCTCTGGGATTCCATATCAATCTGCAGGAGTGTATGTCCACCAACCACCCCATGCTCGCATTACGTGGGCCCCCACGTGTTCCGCTGGCAGAAGCAGCATAACGCCCAGCAACCAAAGTCTGGTGATGTTGAAATTCGGATCCAAGGCACAAGAGGAAACGAGAGTTTCCCCTCATCCGCGCAGAAAGGTTTTGCGAACCTCTTAGGAGGGGCGTCTCAGAAGGGCTGTGAGAAACTGTCCCTGGAAGGTACGGGGTTCTAATGCCTCCCCTGTAAAGAAAAGGCAACCAGGCAAGCACGACTGTTGGTCTTGCCCATGGACGTGAACGGACATGTCAAACCAACAATCCTGATATTTACGTTCTGCTAAGACCAGAACCTTGGCCAGAAATACCTCCTTTTCAGGGGAGGTTGTTGCTTGCATTTTTGTCTAGATACTCTGGTGTCGCTACGACCAATGGGTGATTTTTGAAAATCCTGTTTTCCGATTGTGTGGCATTGTCTGTCTACCCAAAATACACGAGTTTTGGAGGAGACGCCAGATTCATGCGCTCTCGCTGCGCCAAGGTGCCTTCGCCTTCTTGTCCTTCTTCCCGCGCTTGGACTCTTTCTCTTTGGCCCTGCGCTCTTTCACCTGTGCTCTTCGACTCCAAAATGAGTTTTGTCTTTTCCCTGTTTTCCGGTGTCGTTTTAAAGCATTTCCAAGAAGGGTACCTCAAAATGATAGCCGCATAGTGGTGGCTTTCACATAACTCAGCTGGTAAAAACAGAACCGAGAACCAACTAAAAACGCACACACCTCAGGATTCTTCCAGGCGGTGACTAAGCGCATGCCTTGTGAAAAGAGCGCAAACCAGAACTTGGGAACATCTGCTTTTCCAGCTTTCCAGTTGCTGATCCTAAGCCTAAAGAGTCCACTCACATATTCCCAAGGAAACGAGTCTGCAAATGTCAGTGACAAATCCCAACTTGGCGACCGTATGCACATATTTGTGCCTACGAGTACCAGTGACTCCGTTTCCCTGGGAAACCAAGGAATTCTTCCCAAAACCAATCAAACATGGCTGGTGGCCTACTGTTGTGGGATTAAGACCAGTCCCATTCGGTGGCTCAAGCGGCCGTGGCCGCAAGAACCTTGAGGCAAACCAATAAGCTCCATGCAACATGCTCACAGCTCAAGTAATTGATTGACACGCATGCTCAGATCCCCAAACATCGTGTTACAGTCCCTCAAAAGAGTTGGAAGCCCTTCTAATTACAACATGAAACCACACTCTCTTCATCCTTCCGTATATTTGGACGCTTGACCGAGGGCTGACAAAGTGGTAAACCCCGTTTAAGGACCCCTCTTGTGCAAGCAAACAAACAATGACGGTCAACAAAATATGTACCTATCGTTGACCCAACCCCCACATCCAACACGACGATCTCAGCACTCCTCTTTGTTTCTCAAACGCAGAGGGACCAGCCAACCACGGTCAAAGAAATCGTTTGTCATCACAGGAAGTTTAACAAGAAGTTTCGTGGTACTGGGCCTGATTGAGACTGCGTTCTTCGAACATACTTTCACTGCACGTGACAAATCGAGGAAACAGCTAGAAAATGCGAGAGCTGGGGAGTAGAGCGGCTCAAGACAGTGGCCCTGTGCGTCCGCATGCGCGCATACCCACGGATACAACGCCAGATGCCAGGTTTGGAGCAGGTGCGGAGCAGGCTCGCAGGCACGGCCGCGCGCATGTCGCAAACATCAAATGGTGGACCTTCTGCGAACTTTTGTGCGGTCGACCACCCACTTTGTTTTTGACATGTACACTTCTCTCTTTGCTCGCAAAGCCTACCGTAGACTTTCTGTAGATTTCGGCATTGTTGACCTTCAACAACTCGGAACTTTCTTCCGCTTTTCACCTTGCTCGCGAATCCCTCTGCAGACTTTCGGGGGTCGACCCTCAACAACTCAGAGTTTTTGTGTGCTTTCACTTTGTGGGGTGAAGATGTTAAACTACATGTTTCACTTCTTGCACTTGCGTTGCATGCACGTTCACTACTGCAGGCCTTGACCTCACTACATCGCATGAGTCAAAAGGTTGGCAGCTGCAGACTACATTGATTTTTGATTGAACACTACAGCACTTGCACTTGTAGAAACAGTGTCGACCAATTTTAAAGTGGTAGCGGAGCTGAGATCCTAAACATAGGGGAGCTCCAGTACTCAGCAGTAAGTACTACAACCACAGCAACAGCAATCACATGCCAAACTACTACGACATGTCAGGAGAAGCAGCATCAGCCTCAGCACAACAAACTACAGGAGCAGAGAACGGGCCAACAGCAGACACAGTAGGAGCCACGACTACGGGAGCAGGAACAGAACAGGACAACGACGTTCAGAGACTACATCGATACAAACTGCCACCACCTTTCTTCACTGGTGACTATTCCCAGTATGAAGAATGGCTGTTCAAACTATAAGCATACCTCGGCCTCAACTAGCACAAGTGGCTACACGACAGATTGAGGACACGGACATCAGAACACACATACTCGACACTACACAATCCAGAGATCTACACTACATCCTCATTACATCTGTCAGGGAGCGCTACAGTAGTAAGGCAAAACCGCTACAACGCCAATGGATGTGAAACACTGCGACTCCCACACAACAGGTTCAGCCTACCAGTTGGAACAAGAAGCGTTGGCTACCTTACCAAACTGCTGGAACCTACATTCAATGAAGCGCAGTTTGAAGAGCATTTCCTACAATGGGAATACGACATCAACCGCTACGAGACAGACAACGGCACAGCACTACCAGATGGAATAAAAATAGCAATGCTACTCAACAAGACCAAAGGAGCACTGCAGCAACATCTCCAACTGCGAGCTGGACAGACCACGACTACATCGAGATCAGAGCAGTCATCCTCGACTACTACAAGACGATCTCAGCCTTCTCGAGATCGACTTCAGCAGTAGGCACAAACTACAATGGAGGAGCTGCACCAATGGATGTTGACAACATATGGAGGAAAGGAAGAAACTACAAAGGCAAAGGAAAAGGCAAAGGCAATACAAAGGAAGCAAAAGCAAAGGCAAGTACAGGAGCAAAGGACACTACAAGGGATTCGACAAAGGCAACAAAGGAAGCTACAACAAAGGAGGATACAACAAGAGCAAAGGAAAAGGCTACTTAGGATCCAAAGGATATGGATCAAGCAAGGGCTACAAAGGCCAAGGGAACTACAGCAAAGCAAAAGGAAAAGGAAGCAACAACAACACGACATGCCACCGATGTGGCAAGCCTGGGCATTGGGCACAGGACTGCAGAGTGCCAGTATAACACATAGGAGAAGGAGAAGAACTACATCCATTAGAACAAGAACAAGCAGATCATGACAACAATGAAGAACTACCTCAAGATGTGAACGATACCTGGGACTGGTACTACGAAGGAGAAGAAGGACAACACGAGGTAAACTACATGGAGGAGAACTGGAACGACTACGAAGACACTGCAAACTAAACTGGAGGCATCAACGAGTCACACCTCACCATTGGACACATCAGGCAAGCAAAGTCACTACTACACAAGCACAAATCCAAATCGCTACTTGGCAAGAAAACAACACACACAACATCATGGAACGACCACAGCAAGAGCTTTCAACAATTCCTGCAAGAAGACATCACACAGCTACACTTCAACATAGCAGCAGCAACACAACAGCAAAGGAACAAGAAGATTGAGGACACTATCACATACTACATCATGTGCTCCAACTTCAAGTCATACCATCACCTGCTGATCGACTCAGGAGCATCTACACGTGTTTGCCCGAAGGACTACGCACCAGATCTACCACTACGACCTTGTGGAGAATCAGTTCCACAACTCTACACGGTTACCAACAAGAAGATTCCTGTCTACGGCATCAAGTATGTTCCCTACAAGCAGGACAACTTCAGGGTCATGATACCCTACTACGTTTGTGATGTGAAGTATCCAATCCTCAGTGGCATCAAGATTACTTGATAAAGGATCTGGATTCGACTTCAACCCACGACACTGCACCATCACACATGGACAACAACAAGCGCACCTCATACGACACTCAGGACTTTTCTACCTACGAGCAGAGAAGATCGACATCCCTACTACAGGGTTCGACATCTACCCAATGACTACAGACAATGGAAATCCATTGCTGTGATCCAATCTACAGAGAAAACAAAGCAACAACAATAACAAATTGCACCACTCATCCACACAGGTCAAGGACTGCGACAGATCCTTGGTGGAAACACAGACTATTGGAAATTTGCTGGTGACTACGCCATCAGAGTCCACAAACGACCACGCAAAGCATGGTTTACAACACACAACAGTGGTTGCCCAATACCAGAAGAAGAACTAGATGATTGGCGATTAACCATCATCAACAGACAAGGGCAAGAGCAAGAACAACTACAAGATAATTCAACACAACTTTCCAAGCAAGAACTACAACGAAGACTAGAGGTGACAACTGGATTGGAGAAATCAGGTTCAGAAGAAAGATAACACCTACACGCAGAGCAACATCAAAGACCACGCCAACAAGGCAGAGCTCACAACCACAACGGCTAATGGACACACCATCAACAAGATCAAAGATCCAACTACGAGCACCACAAAAGATATGGAGACCTAAAGCAGCATCTTCCACAGACCTTGACACCACACAATCAAAGGAGACAATCCACAGAAAATTCACAGCACAGGAGGACAACCAAGATTACTGGGAAAGACAAGGTGAACATTGGATAAGACACCACACAACCCTTAGAACAACCCTATTCACATCAACAGATGGGCCAGGACATCCAGCAATCAGCACACTTGAGCCTCACAGAATTACAATCGCTCACAACAACAATTTTGGAGAAGTTTCACAACGCAAAGATGACTGGACAGTCATGGGCAACGCAGCATTTCCATTTCAAACGAAAGGAACAACAAGGTTCATCGTGAAGAAAGACTACGAGTACATCCAGGAAAATCACGATGAGGAACAACAACACGAGCACCATGAAGCACACAGAGCAAGAGGACTACGACAACCACAGCAGCCAACTCCAGAACAAATAGCAGAAGAAGCAACTCCATAACTCCACTACAAGCATTCAGCATTCATCTTTGAGTGCGGGAGAACACAAGGCATACTACAAAGCGACAACGAAGACACACTCAACGCGCTTCTAGAAGCTACAGCAACAAAAGTCGGCTCAATGACTGTTAGGCACGCACCCTCCTACAGCAGCAACAATCAAGGAAGTGTTGAGCGACTACACCGAACACTCCTCGGACAGGTTCGCGTCGTCAAAGCACAGGTTGAAAGCAACTACAGCATGACAATGTCCACGAAGCACTGTCTACTACCTTGGATAGTACGACATGCAGCATGGACAGTAAATCGCTACGTCATCCACTCAAACGGCTACACCAGCTTTGAACGCCGCTGGGGAAGAAACTATGAGCGAGCAATCTGCGAATTTGGCGAGACACTACTTTATCTTCCACCACAACACAAGAAGCTTCCAAAAGCAAACCTACGGATGCAGAAATGCATCTGGCTCGGAAAAGTTTCCGAAACC